TGGTCAATTGTAGAAAGACCTTTCCTGAACCCTGCTTGATGGGGGTGGATGATGTGATTCTCAAAGACCCAGTCATCCAACTTGAACAACAGGTATTTACTATAAACCTTAGCTGCTATATCTATCAGGCTTATTGGTCTATAGTTCCGTGGGTCTGTTTTGTCCCCTTTCTTGTGAATGGGGACAATAATACTTAACTTCCAACCAGAAGGGATTAAACCTGTGCCATTAATTTGTGTGAAAACCGTAGCTAGCACGGATGACCACCATGAGGGAAAAGCTTTATAAAAGTCCGACGGAATCAGGTCTTCCCCAGGTGACTTTCCTGAAGCCAATGAGTTAATTATACAAAGGGGCACAAGACCCAAAAACCCTGCTAAAGTGCTGTACCCACGTTTTGGGGGAGATATGTGCCACTGCCTGCCGGGAGGAACTATTTAAGCCACTGGATACAATGTCCCAGAAGCGTGCTTCATCCTTCTTAGAAACAGCAAGTTCAAGTTCATGCCATAAAGATTTAGCATAGTCCCTTTTCTTAGTTTTAATTAATTTTTTATAATAAGATCTAAGTTTCAAGATGTGAGGCATCAAGTAATCAGGGAAGTTTGTGGAGTTCTGGGGGTGAAGCTTGGGAAGGGTTGCATATAATGCCATAGAGTCCACATTCCAGAGCACCCATTTCCTCCAGGAGAACTGTTCTCTTTTGTCTGGAGATGAGTTGCAATTGTGGGAGCTATCCAGGCCCCCACCTGGAGAATGCCAAGCCTAATTTCCATTTGCTGGACCTCTTGGAGCCTACTTGCAAAATAACTTCACATGCCTTTCCCGCCCCTACAAACCACCATATAATGCAGGAATCTCACATTAGTTACTGAACAAATGTATGTATGCTTCATGTTTATAAATAAATAGTGTAAATACAGGGCAACAGGTTGTATTTCATGGTTGTTTCACACATTATGCAGAGGAAAACCCATGACAATTCTTTAAACTTGTTTTTAAAAATTCCAAGGACAACAAATTTATTGATTAAAAATGTATTGATGGCAATTTTAGTTTTGTCTTTGGTCAGCACTGGAAATCATCTACAGTACTACCAACCGCAAAGGATTTTCTAGAAATGGCACAGATAGATGAAGTAATGGATACCATTATAGAAACAGTAATTCATTTTCTAGTTTACAAAAACGGGCATTGTTCATTTATTGTAATGATAAAGTGGAAATATTCTGTACTTTTTTTAATAAAAGGGGAAGGGGGAGAAAATCCACTCAAACTTCTGTATTCCAAGCTGAAACACTGTATTCTAACCTAAAACACTGAGATTCAAATGCCAGAATTGAGAATTAAACATTTTAAAATCCATATGAGTATTATGAGTTTTCCCAAGATTTGTATTCAGATGTTAGGTTTGAAATTTGCCCTTCTTAACAGCAGCTTCTCCCGTTACCTTACATACAGCAACAGAAGGATTACTTACATTTTTCAAGGGGCAATGCTGATGGGCATACCATTCTTGGCTATAAAGACAAAAAATGATGCCATGACCGAGGAAGAGGGAAGTCCACATGATCACATTCCAAATGGAACTTTGCCTTCGGTCGTTGATTAAGAAGTTGAAAATCACTGAATAAACAAACAAAAAAAGTCAAAATGCATCTTTCAGGATGCTACAGGCACACCACCCAAACAGACATTCTTCCTACCCCACAGCTGACTAGCAAAGTGCCCATCGCTATAACCAAAGAAGTGAATGGTGCCCATGAGCCAAGCTAGATGCATGCCTCTGTGCATGTCTGTCTTCAAGAGGACAAAAGGCAAACGTCAAAAGGAAGTCCAGTGTGAGCACCTTACAAATTAGATTTTAATTTTATTGTGGACTGCAGCCCATAAAATTTCAAAGGCTAAACAGAAACAAGTCCCTTTCTTTTTTTCTCTTTTTTTTTGAGCCCCCGGAGGGGATTTTTTATTATTTTTTGTCACTACAAAAACTACAACAGAAGAAGAGGGAGGGGGAACTACATATACGGGATAAAGTAAAGAACCCACTACTAACTAAAAGCCCAAGAGAGGAGATCCTACAACTAGCTTAGTAACATCAAATCTTCTCATCATTTATCTCTTTATAAACTGAGTCAAACATTTATAATAGTTTTCCTTTTAAACTTAAGTTTAACTGTCTAGGAACAGTACCCCCGATCATCCCATAACAAAAAGTCTCAAAGGCACATATCAGAGTCCTTCAGCCTTTACTTCTCCTTTCCCCTTCTCTTCCGCAGCTTGTAAGGAATTTTGGGGGCTGCTGCCCCTTGCTAGTGTCTAGCTCGTCAAGCAACGATTCCGCCTTCATTTCTGTCGCTGGGGCTAACAGTTCACTCATCACTTCTTTAAGATTCTCCCCTCTGTTCTCTGGCACGCCCTGGAAATGAAGGATCATATTGGTTTTTTTCCATTTGGACTTGCAGCAGTTGATCTTCCATGGAGACTTGTTTCCTTTCCAGCTTTTGCACTTTCTTCTTCACTTTCTGCATAGTTACAGCCACTTCCTTTACCTTCTCAGCATCTTGCTTCATTACTTGTATCAGGTCGCTTATCTGAGTTTGTTCTGTAGTAATGCTTTGAGTAACTGCAGACATCTGTTCCTTGAAGTTATTCAGCTGTTCCAGCAGAGGGCGCGTGTACTTCGCTATAGACTTTGCCACCTCACTGGTAACTTCCGGTTTTGGGCTCTCAGACCCTTTTGCTTTCAAAAGTCTTTCTTTGTCCTTCTTCCTCGCCATCTTTATCATTTGTTTACATTCACAATTTTTTAAAAAGTCTATGAATGTGCGCTTGACCGCTTGGACTCACTTTGGTAAGTACTTCTAGGCAGTTTCCTTCGCGTTTCCTTCCGCTCCCCCCCTCAATCGCTCAAAAGTTTGTGCACATAGGAGGCGTCCCTCCTCCGCACGTTTCCCCCCCCCCCCATTCGGTGGGGTAGGATGGGGAGCTATCTTTTTCCCTTTAAATGCTTCGGAATTGACTCACATTCATAGTTAGTCATTCGACCTCGCTTTCATTTCGTTTCTGCCGCGTGATCTCCTGCACTTGTCCCAGTCAGCGTCACTAAGTCCATACGGTCTCACAGCACGGAGAACCATCGGAATGAAGAGGTGCCTCAATTCTCCGGCATTCCGCCATCTAAGAGGCGACCTCTTATAAATTCCATGGCCAGGGTCCCTTCGTCGGGACCCTGGGGGAGTTTGCAAGCCTGCGCACCCCCTTCTTCGGCTGGAGTGCAGCTTCACCCCCAGGAGGTCCGGGAGGTGAGTCTGCTAGCACACCACCATAAACTGGAAGTCTCGAAACAAGTCCCTTTCCATCCTTCATCCTGCCCACCTCTCACCTTCTCGTTTCCCCCTCTTCTTTTCTTACTACCATATTCTCTCAAATGTTCCTGCCCGGGAATTAAGATCACAGGGAGAGGCCCTCCTGATTGCCCCATCAATCAAAGATACTTGTTTGGTGGGTTCATGAGAGAGGGTGCCTTTTCAGTGGCGGCCCCACAAGTAGGGGTGTGCTTTTCGGAATCCCGAACCGAAAAAAATACCGGAAAAAACTTCTTTCGGTTTTTTTTTTTTTTTTTTTTTTTTTTTCGGGATCCCGAAATGGCCGTTTCAAGCCTTTTCAGATATCCGAAAAAAACCGAAAAAATTCAGGTTTCCCCCAGGTTTTTCGGCATTGCCGAAAAACGACAATCAGCGGCTTTAAACTTTAAATGGTGGCAGGGAAACCCCGTTTTCCTGCCGTTTCCCCCTCTTTCCCGCCTTTTGCTCCTGTTTTCAGGAGGGAAGGGGGAAGAAGGAACTAGACAGCCAATCACTGCAATGCATTTGCAAATGCATTGCAGTTTGCAAAACTTTTTGCAGGGCTGTTGTTGCTGCCACTAGCTTGCTCTTTCCCCAGGGAAGGAACACTAGTGGCCAATAGGGTTTTGGCATCTGCTCTCTGGCCAATCACAGAAGGTGTTCCTTTTTGAAATCTTCTGTGTATGGCCAGAGAGCATAAAAGGAGCCAGTCTCCCTGGCTGACTCCATTGCTGTTCCTGGTTCCTGGCCTGCTGCTGACTGTTGGTGACGAGAGGGATTGGCTAGCCTTGGACCGATTGGCAATTTCTGCTGCCCCTGCTGCAGTGCTGCTGCTCCTGAACCCCTTTTCCTGGCCTGGTTTGAAAAATATTAGGGCACTTCTTTAAAAATCATCTTTGTTTTAGTGGTTTGGGTCTGGGGTTGGTGAGGGTTGGTGTGGGTAGGCCTAGGCCCTAGGGCCTCAGACCTCTTTCTGGGTTTTATTTGGGGAGGGAGGGTTGCTCTTCTAGTGTTCCTTTTTTCGCGATTTAAAATTGTTTTTAACTGTGTACTTCATTTTGTTTAGGCTTGCCTTGTTGTTTGGTTTTTTCCCCCTGACTTCTAGTTTCTTCTTCCTCCATTTTGTTTTTGCATTGTGACTATTTATTATTTCTATTTGGCCTGCAGCTTCTCCTGGGGGGGGG